GCTTCCGACATGATGCCCTACAGCAAATGTAAAGTTATGAAAGGCAATCTGTGTGATTCACCACAACCTCAGGAACCTCCTTTGCTGTGTGGAGCCTCTGATCTGGTTGCGGCTCCAAGCCTGCGGCTGTGCAATCCCCATCTCCTTCCTGGCACTGGGAGCCGACAGGCTCCCAAGTGCATCCCCTTGGAAGGAAAGCACGGTGCAGTGACATGGTGACGCTGTCATTGGTGTGACAGGGTCCTGCTGAGCCGCCTCGTCATTCAGGTGAGCCCTGCAGCATCCCACAGCCACAGCCCTCCCCAGCAACCCAGACCCCTCCATGTTCTGGCAGCCTTATCTTTAACACCCACTTTCTTACCCTGCACAGCATTTCCCAGGCTTGTCCAAAGGAACTAGAAGGCTTCTGAGCAGACCTGCTGCCACCTCTGCTGGCACACACTGAGCCACTAACCCTGTGATGGGTTTTCTTCCTGCTCCTCCTGGGTTCTCCAACCCAGCCAAATCTGGGGCTGCTCCCAACAGCAAGAAATTCACTCTCAAAAGGCAGTGTAGCACAACTGACCACTAACAGGAAAGCCAAAATACATCTAAGAACTCAAATTAGAAATTATATCCTAGGCTGATGATAAATACATTTCCTATTGCAATACTATGACGCCACATTCTAATACTCTGCTGAATCTCTACAGAAATAGCATTACAAAACCTACTGTAAACACTCAAGCCTTAACTCAAATGTCTTCTACAAAAAGGGAGCAGGGCTTTTCTACTGTGGTCCTAGCAGAGTGAGGCAGTTTCACACAGCACTTTGCCTGTTTGGTTTTTAAGCTGAATGATGCAAGACAGGCAGTAATTTTTAATGGCAACTGAATTAAATACTTTCTGCTCCTAACACGTATAAGATTTTCGAGACACAAATAGGCCAAATTCAAAACTTCTGTGGTTGGTATTCAGGGTTTAAAACCCATGAGATAATACACATTAACCACCACCGCTGCTGCAGCAACGTCCACAGAGATGGCGAGGACACCACGCACAGGAAGCGACAGCCTGTGGAAGAACAAGACCAGGAGAGATGAAAGCAACAGAGAGACAGGGAAAGATAATGAAGACAGGAAGACACAAAGGTGGTTCCTCACCAGCACAAGCCAGGAGCTGCTGTTTGCGTGTTGGGTGAGTGGAGGGTGCAGAGGAGCAACCTAGGGGTGAGCAGAGGGAGGACTGGGGTCTCTCTATGCAGAGGTTAGCAGTGGGGTGCCTTTGCGCAAGTGACAGCAAGGCAAAGAGGGGCAGGTACCCCGAGGCCTGACACAGGGCTCTGGCAAAGGGCGATGGAGCTGTAGTGGTTTTGGTGGACACCTCTTTGAGAAGGGCAGGAGAGAGAGTGGTCTCTTGTGGTTTAAGCCCAAGCCAAAACAGGCAAAAGGGAGGGAGAGCCCACGGGAGGGCAGAGAGGCAATGATGTTTTGCCATGTTCCTCATGCTGGACCATAACCTTTAGGTCTATCCACTTTGGTGTGTATTTGCAAAGCCCAAGTGGGACCTGATCCATCGCTCTGCCGCACCGTGCTACCACCATACAAACACAACTGGACAGCCGTGGTGTAACAGGGGCTCTTGACTGACAGCAGGTCAGGAACATGGACACATCCACCGCCAGGTCACAAACACAGGAGCGCTGCTGGGACTTCAAATGCATGGAAAAACGAGATTCACTTACACTGAAAACGAGTGGCTTACACAGACGTATGTGAAAAACCAAATGCTTTAATCCATCTATCAAGAACAACAGTTCAAATTATTTCATTGGATACATTAATACTGATCCATAATTTACAGTGCTATGGACCATACACAAATTATTGCTGCAGTCAACAGCAGATGAATATCAACATTACAGTACCAAGCATCATAGCAAGAGGCAGTAATTAATGTCACTTTTTCAAGAAATATAGGTATTTATACTATTATCAACATCAGCTTCCCCCCCAGTGCATTTTATGTCAACATAAATGTAAGTGCATTATTTTGTGCTTTGTGCTTTCCTTACGTACCTTCTTTTTGCTTTTACAGGTTGTAAGAGTTAAATATTGCTTTATAGGCCAAAAGCAGTAAGGAAGAACTTTGTGGTTCTCTGCATGTTCCTGCTTGTTGCATGGCTTTGGCAAAGTGAGCACTGGTAGATATCCTGTCTACCCACTCAGGGAAGCCACTGCTGGCCCAGTGTCACACTAGACACCGTTATCAGACTGGGCAACAACTTCTGACTATCTCACTCCACTAGCTCATGCCAAACCCTGCCTGTAATGGCTGTCTCTGTCCCCTGCCACTGATCCCCTGTAAAACATCACGGCCACATGTCCCACAGTGCTCAAATGGGCAGACATCTCCACTTAGCACCCGCCTGGAGGTCCATGTCTCCTAGAGATGTCCCTCCCCACTGCGGTGTCAATGTGCTGCTATCCAAAGGCTGAGCAAACTCAGAGGAGGGCTGTAACCTAAGGAAACATGGGGTGAAGAGCGAGCAGGTCACAGCCGAGTTACATGTTACTCCAGAGCAACCCAACGCACAGGGAACACACCACTCAGCTGCTGGGGCCACAGTGACTTGTATCAAGAAATCCAGCTCTTGATGTAACTGTTCTCCTTGAATCTTAACTCATCTCCACACACTATGTAGCCAAAGTATCAGAAGTCACAGCTGTCAGCAAGTACCAGTGGTTACACATGAGCTGTAAAAATAGTTATTTTTACAGTCCAGACTTCAATTCCTGAATGCCCAGCATGGCAAAAAAGACATGCCAAAGCAAAAGCCTTAGTTGATATATTCAGTGGTTGTCAGTGACTACACTCCAGAGTGCACACCTGATTTTGTTGCACAAGGCTGCAGAGCTGTCCCATTGTAATGGCGAAGGGTAACGCAGCCCTGTGTTACAGCTGCAATCATTTTACAGCCCTGATTTCCTTTACCTGCCACCCTGACCAAACAGCAGCACCAGAAGCCTATACCCACATACTTGACCCAGAGCAAGCTGCCTTGCTGGGAACTGGAACATTTCCCTGCCTGAGGACCACAGTGCCCACAGAGCATCCTGCAAGCTATTGGGCCACAGCTTCTCTACCCTAGAGGAAAGACACATTCCCAGAAGCTGTCTGGGGTGGGGGGGAGAGGCATCATTATACTCTAAATCCAGCTCCTCCTTCAAAAAAACAGAAAACAAAACCCCAAAAGAAAGAAAAAAGCCACAACCTGGTGGTTGCATCAATGCTAACACACAGCTCGCTGCTCAAGCAGAAACAGAGACGGCTGGACACAGCCAGCAGCAGCCACAGAAAGAGCAACACGAACGTAGACCCCGGAGTACCGTAACAGCAAGCTGTGCCCCCGTGGAGCCCTTTGCCACTAGGGCCAGGCAGGGGACACTTCAAGAACCATCCACGGGGAAATGTTTGGGTGAAAGCTCAGCGAGCCACGCCACAGGCCAGGGAACACCTGACCTTGTCCCCTGCTGTCCCATTGCTACCTGATTCACATTTGATTGCTGAACACTAACTGCTGAGACCAAGGTTTCCTTATAAATCCTGCCAAACTGGCGCTCAAGTCACTAACCATTTCATTTATCGTATGTCATTTCCAGTGTAGCACGAAGGAGAACGGGAAGCTCTTTGTTTTCTATACGTAGGCACCATGCTACACCTCAACATCCTATAAAACATCACCCTAAAGCTCTCTCCTATGCCACACTTCAGTCAGTGCTAGTCAAGGAAGACTACAACTAGAGTTTAAGGCACTTCATTCTGAACGAGATACGCCTGCCTGCCGCTTGCGAGTCAGCTGTAGGCTGCCATTGGAAATCCATTCGATCCGCCTAGCTCGGAACACCATGCGTCACCTCTGTAAAACACCTAGGCTTGATATAATACGAGTAGAACTACCGTTATTGCATAGGACTACACTTGAGTAGATAATGCACCAAACTACTTTTACAACATGGTTGCATGTTAAAAATTAATAACATTGTTATCAAGTAACAGTTATTTGCAGATACAGTAAATTTACTCTTTTTTTTGTTTTTTTTTTTCCTTATGTCAGCGCCAGAGCTGAAATAAAACACAAATTGCTATAACGGGTATATTAACTACATAGTTATGTTTCCAAGCATATTACTACTTTTTTTTCCTGTATCACTAAAAATAAATATGTAAGTTCAGTTTCTCTACAGAGTCGTTTTATTACCTAATCTAAATTTGTACTCTACCTTAAATGCGTTTAAAAACATCTTCAAAGTGAGACTGTAATATACAAAATATTCTCAAAATCTCTCTTAAAACACAGACCCCTGCAGAAAAGCTTCCTTTCAAGTGTTTACAAAGAACGCAGAAAACTTCCAATGAGTTTTAAAAATGTCAAAAAATCGTTGCAATATTAAGAGGCAAAAAACCTTACAAATGAAATACAAATATATTTAAAACAAAAAGTTGAGGGTAACTAAGGAATCCATGCAAATCAAAAGTAACTGTACAATGCAATTTAAAAAGAAAAAACAAAGCCAATTAGATATGTACAACATAATCTGCCCAGCTGATAGAATTCATCGATTTTTGCCCAAAGAGTTGGTACCAACTCAGAGTGCTCCTGCCTGGGTTGCTGTTGGCAAGTCAGCATCGTGTTACAAACCAAAACGAAAATCCAAGAGAAAAACTCGAACCATGATCGAAAGGAAAACCTGAATCAGCTCAGAGTAAAATTAAAGGGCACTCTGAGAAAGAGACTCTCATCTCCCTGCAATTTTCGGCAACGGCATTTTCTAGCACAATCAACACAATCAGGATGTCTCAACACTTTTGGTTTTTGTTTGTATTCTGAGTGGAGTAGGGTGGGGATTTCTCCCTAAACACTTGTCATGTAAAGACCAACGTTTGAGGGACACTGTATCTTTAAGGCAGCACTATTCAATTCATACAATTACAAATTGGACTTTGTTGTTGTTGTTTCTTTACATTCTTTAACTTTACATTGTTTCCAAGTAAATAGGTTGCATTTACAGTTCTATGATTCCCCCCTCCCTCCCCCAGTAGAAACAGACTCTTCATTTGTAATTCTATTGCTTTGAGTAGATTTGACCAGTTCAAAGTTCTTGTCGAATCCAGTTCACAGATACTGTACATACGCTGTACAATATTTTGGAGGCATTGGTAGTTTTAAAATAGAATATACAAGTTTCTTCACAAAAATGCTAAAAAACTCCTATATATATAATATATACACACACACTCACACACACTGGGCTACTGATGAAGCACAAGGAAGGAAAATCAAAAAAATTCTACAAAAGGTAAATTATTTCATCTACTGATCAAGAAACAAAAAGCAGTTTATGAAAGGTGTGCCAAGTATATGCTAACAAGCATGGTCGGTGTCTTCCATGCTCACGCTGCTCCGCCTGCTACTTGTCTTCGATGCTCCAGGAGAGACAGAGGACAGTAGTGGGTCAGTCACTCCGACAGGGGAGAGGGTATCGTCCATCAAGATATCTTCCAGTTTGGAACCCATTTTGGCAGGAACACCATAAGTGCCAGTTGGTTCAGTCACGTTTCCGATGTTGTCGCTGAAGGTGATGGTACCGTCAGTGAGATCGAGGGTGGTAGTGCAAGACAGGTCTGTGTGGTGTGGCATGATGTCTTGGTTGCAGTTGTCCAGCACGGGCTCTTGTTTGATGACCCTGTTGACCATATCAGGGGAGCAAAGGCCTGTAGATGGAACAAGGGACAGTCCGTGTGCCCGAGCTTGCATCTCAAGTTCCTGTGAAGAAGGATAAGGGACAAATTAAGAAAGAAATCTGAAAACAAAATGTGTCATCTTAGACTCTTGTGTACTGCGACTTAACAGTCTCCTCCTGCTGTACACAAACTGTTTCCTTCCTTTCCAGCAGTGTAAGTGCTTGCACCGTGTGCACTTCTGCCCTGCAGAAGTTCACCTGACCATCAGTCTCTTGAAGAGGTGGGTGAGCACCACCCCACAGAGGCCCTTCACACTTCCCCTCAGAACCCACACCAGAGCCAAACCCCAGAGCCCTGTAGAACAGACATGTTTCTCTTTGGGCCTCTTCCCAAACCAACGCCACAGTAAGCAAGTTTGGCATCAGGTCAGGAAAGCGACATAGTTTAGTGTGTGGTGTCCCTGCTCATGGCAGGGGGGTTGGAACTAGATGATCTTAAGGTCCTTTCCAACCCTAACTATTCTGTGATTCTATTCTATGATTCTGTGAAAAGCTGGGCGGAATGTGTGGAATAGCATAAGCACATGCTCAGTAATTTTTAAAGATCATATGTGAAAGCACAGCATGTCTATATGATGCTTGTTTTCTGCTGAGACACTGGAAGGGATATTTCTCATTCTACAAGTCTGGTAGAACTGTAAGTAAAGAGATCAGCCAAAACTGAGCAACGCTATTACTGCACTGAAAAGTTATAGGTAAATCATGAGGCCTTAGACTTCACACACAGCCTGGATTTCTTCAATCTTCACAAAAAGTTTAAATTCCACCTTCAAATATAACCATATAGGTGTACTTGACTGAAGACAGATAATAGAAGAATTAACTTAAATGCCCTTTCTCAAATGCAGCAGCAAAACAGATGCTTTGCCTCTACTTATTCATTACGTTAGGCAATCACAATCACTGCTGTGATTGTACTGTTTCTGGGTATTCCTAACACGGAGCTTGATTAAGAGCTTTTTTCCCATTTTCAACCTAAACCAACAAGCTTGTGATGGCACACTGCAAGATCAACAGAGAAGGTAGACCAAGAAAGCACTTCTTCCATCAGCTAACATGTCAAAATTAGAAGTTCCTTATCCTGTGCTCAATCAGAATCAAGACAAAAAGGGAAAATATAGACTTTAGATTATTTGGCGCCTGATCAATTAGCCATTATTCAAGGGTCCGGTTTTTATCTTATTTTGACTGAAGAAGAGGTTTTTCCCCTGGAAAAATCTTGGCAGACATCTCAGCATTGGTCACCATGAATTAGACTGGTGGCTCCTTCTAACCCACATTCCTACAAACAAGCTTCAGTTATCATTATTTGCAGTCACACACTGCAACATCAAGAGCATTTGCAGCTTATTTATCAGCAAACCTGTATTCTGAGCAGCAGATGCCTATTGGCATGTTCCAACTTCTTCTGCCTGTTCTCAAGCTCCTTCGTGCGCTGCTGTTCTCTTTGCAGCTTACGGATGTAGTCCACTGATGCTTTTAGAATAGTTCCCTTATTCCAGCGCATATCCCTTTGAAATCAGCACAAAAGGAAAAGTTAACACTGACAGGGAGGCTTTATTTTATAGACACCACCTTCACACTGGCAGCTACAATTACACCTCATATATACATTACTCCTGGATAATATTTATTCCAAGTTAACGAATACAGAGCGCATTTGAAATGCACTAGAGGGGGCCCGAGTGCAGCTATTGTGAAGCAGCCTGCAGGACCCTGCAGCTCTCCAGCCCCTGCCTTCTGCATGGTTTGGGAACAGCACTGTGCAGAGAAACTGATGACCGGGGGCTCCTTTCATTGCCTTATAGCAAGGCTGCAAGACAACAACAACAAAACCCACAATTCTTCTCAAACGTTGAACAGTTTGCTATCTGGGTGATGCCTGATTTCAGCTGGGGAATTAGAAGGACCATATATGACCTGGTGCTTCTGTGAGAGAATGACCTGAGGCAAGGCCTAAGGGTTCCCAAGCAGCAGCAAGCAATAGTCATGGTGGCACTGCATCACAGCTGGGTTACTGTAGGAAGAGTCCAACACAGCAGCATATCTGCGGTATTGTCTTGCTTGCCTTAGAGGAACCTAAAGAACCTCTCTGAAGACTAGCTATGAGTTGCTCCATAGCCTTAAATAATGGAAACTCTCCCCAAAAGTATCATGGGGCATCGATTTAGATTTCAGTGACATTTTCAAGCTCCACAGGGAGGGGAGCTATTGAATCAGCATTAGGAAAGTGTTAAGACAAGTTAGTAGCAGTATAATCACCTAAAAGAACTACTGAGAAATTACCACAAACACTGACAAGTTATCAGTGAACAGACACGCAGCTGTGATTTTTATTTTCCTGCTTTGTTCTTGGAGGGAAGGGGAACAGGATGGCTTCCCTGATGAACTGCCCTCCATTTTCAAAGAAAGAGGGACTGGTTCTATCTTGCCACGCTATGGCATCTAATAAATTAAAAGAATCATTTAGCAAGACAAGCAGTCAGCTAAGCAGTGAGACTAGACCAAGGTTTTGCATCCCGACAACTCCACCGCTGTCACTACCAGCATCAACCCCAGCCCTGCTGAAGCACAGGGTCCAGCTGGATGCTGAGCTGCTGCACAACAATACAGCGACTTCTTTGTCACAAAAATCATCAAATTAATATAAACTTAAACAGGTTCCAAAAGGGAAAAAATAAACCCCAAAGCTTCAAGAAGTATAGAGCATTTCTACAGCCACAGAATGCCAAGATCATGCAAGAAAGCTCAGGAATTTTTTTTTGGTACATTCTTTTTCTCCCCCAAGGTTTTTTTTTCCTTTTAATATCTCCCTCCCACAGTCTCCTTGGGCACATTATACTTACGGGTCATTTGACTTGGGTATCAAAGTGCCTAGTTCTTTTATGCGATCATTAATATTAAATCTTCTTCTTCGTTCAACTTTAGGAAAAACAGCACAAGTGTTACAAGTAATATTCACACTGAATTACAACATATAAAGTGTTTCATCAAAGGTTTCTTTAAGTGCCTTTGAAATATATGCCTGAACCTTAAAATCCACCGCCAAAGTAGTCTGATTTTGCTCTCCTACACATGGATACACTAAGACAGAAGTTCTGTCTATACTGTAAAAATGTGGGACCGCTGAAGTGGCAGAGTTAAACTGAGACTCTAAAAATGGCTGTGTTAGCATAGGACTCAACTGAGGAGCAAATGTTGCACAAATTCAGAGACAAAAATTTAGATGCTTGAGGATCCTGAAGCAGGAAAAGGGACAAAACATACTGTCTCTTTTTGAAAGTCATCTTCCAGATGCAACATTTTGAGGATCCAAAAGTCAAACTTAAATACCAATTTTCCTGCATGAGCTTTTCAAGCTATGGAAAAGGCTTCTGAATTGCTCAAGGCATGAACAGCTCCTTTTTTCTACCAATATAAAGTATTCAAGGACAACTTAAGGATCCTTTAAGTCATACGATGCTCATTATTTTTAAATGGTTTCTGCCAACTTGGAAATATGAATTCCCTTAAAAAAAAAAAGGAATTTATACAATTGCCACACTGAGGGTGCACACCGATGCTTGAAGTCACAAACTGACACACAGCTAACATTTTAGATGAATTAAAAAAAAAAGGGGGCAAAACTGTGCAAAGTGGACTTATTAAAAGCAACTGGATCAACTGTTGTTCCAAATAATTCCACTGATGATAACCACCTTGGCTTATTGAAAAGAAATCAAAATAGAGTTTAAAAGTCAGTACTAGATTTAAGCACGTTTCACAAGAATTTGGGATATTTGATCTATGGGCATAACATAAATAACTGGTACTATGTATCACATGCAGTGTCTCCTGCAGATTTAAACCACCAGCAGTCAAACACTTAACGCCTAAAATCATTAATAGAATTGGTGCAAAATGTGAAGAACCAAAACTTACTCAAGTTGTGATTGTCCTTCTTTTGCCTCTCCTTAGCCAATGCTCTCGCTTCTGACTCTGTAGGAAAAATACATGCTGTGCATGTGAATGAAGTAATTAGAATTAAAGTAATTCAAACACAATGTTTCAGTGTATGAAATATTTGTGCAGGAAGCCTGATTGATATTTGTCAAACCAATTACTACACCCATTCCAATGAGTGAGAAAGGCCTGTGATTGCCAAAACACAGCATCGGTGTTGAACTTCACCTGCAGAGCATCTCTTCCCACACTTCCCATACTGACTTCCATGATGAGGACGTTTCCCACAGAGGCCCTGATTCAGCAAGGTATTTGAGGAGAGCACACTGCTGAAATCCAACATACTTCTCCTATGACTACATACAGCTGGCACACTTACGTAGCACACAGAAGCTGAACCAGAGGAACAGCATGCTTATGGCATTGCTACCTGCACAGGATGTGAAGCAGTCAGGAGCCAGAGGCTCTACTCACCAGAATTAAGGTTACGTCCTTTAGTGGCGCATGCACGCACATCACCACAAGACTCAAGGTGTAACTTAAGAGACCTATTAAAAATACAGTATTTTCCAGCTACACTAACTGCTCTCATTAGATGAAAAACAGATGAAAAATTCAACACCTTCATTAGCTTCAACACTAGAAAATAATGGCCCTTGCTTCAGGCAAAGCAAAACTTAAAATGATGACAACCATGCTGTACATCACTTATCTCCTCAATTCAGAACTGCTCTTAACATTCCTCCACACATTTGTTATCAGACTTCATCATGCAATAGTTCAGGCAAAAGCAAAACTAAATGTGTTATCTATAGTTCTCATTTGATCTTACATTTCTCAAGCAATTTTAAGTATTTTCATGTTTGCTCTACCCCTTTTAATTTTTGATAAAGGTAAGGTTTTCATGGTCCTTGCCATGTTGCATTGAAATCTCAAAACCAGAAAGCATTACCTGGTTTCACGGTAAGTCAGTGAGGAGGAATGACCATATAATCTATTATCACATGTTCCACGATGGAAACAAACCCCCGCAGTGACTCCAATAAGTTTCTTTCCTGCATTATTTTATTTATAACGAATATGGATTATGGCCCACCCAGTTAAAGATAACAGGTGATACGGGTTTCCCTTGGAGTACTGAAAGCTTACTACTTCACTGCCTAGAATAAAGAGCTACCCCAGTATTATACACAGCATTATACACAGCATAACAAGTACCATATCCTTTCCTAGGCTCCCAAAGGATTCCCAAAAAGTTCAAAAGATGTCTTAATGAAATTTGGGCTTAATCTGACATTGCCTTATGAAACAGGTATGAGGTTTGTAAGGTGAAAACTGATATAAACAGCACTGCTGGGTGAGCAGGATTCCCATTAAATGCTTCAGTGACTACAGCTGAGAATTCAACAACCATCATCAACATCAGATGCTGGGATAAAAGATTTGCTTTTGGGGGGATGTCTTCATCATTTTGATATTTATACAGCAGGATGAAGACAAGTGTCTGGCAAATGCTAGGTTTAAGTATTCCACGCTCTCTCCAGCCTAGCTCCAAGAGTAAAATGTGGAAACAGAGAACCAAAAGGCTCCTGCCCGCAATAACATGCTGATTTTAAAATCACCGGCTGTCAGAAACCACAATCAAATAGTGCTTTCTGCACAAAGGCTTGCCCAGATCAATGTCAAAGTGACTGCTGTTAAATGTGAGTTTAATTCTTAAACCTCTTGTAAAATAAATGCAATCTGCTAGCATATATTTTGAACAGAAAAAGCACTTGCCTAAATCATGTCTGTGTACAGGTGAATGTAGCATATAGACATTTAACTTAGTTCAGGTCTCTTCTGATGCACTAGGGACTTCCATCATACTGCTGCACTCACTGATTTCCTCTCTCTGGTTTCTTTGCCTGAAGTCTTACGCAACCATCTGCAGTGAATCCAGCAGCCTGGGCATCCAACAAGTTGGATTTGCAGTCTACAGCCACCTTTAACTTTCTATAACTGGGGCAATGAAACTATCTGTAATGCAGAACTTGGAATAGTTCTCATCCCCTCCCACCCTCCTCTTTACATAGTACAAGCTTTTCTTTTTCTAGCAGCCACAAATCATTGTGCAGTTTGTGTTCTTCATTTGGTGCCTAACTCAAATTTTGTGCCACCATAAAAACGCAAAAATATCCGCCAGCTCAGAGATTTGGCATTTCCTCTCAAGAAGCTGACTCTCGGGCTATTAAAATTGCTCTACTTAAACTAATTCCTGCCCAGAACCTGCTCTGCAACCGAGTCAGCCTGTGAGTTTTCACAACAGAAACACAGAAAGACAGGAGACAAGAAAGCAGCTCTGCCTCTACCATACTGCATATGGCATGATTCCTTTTTGGGCTTAAAACCAGCCATTTCTGGGGATTACGATGACCTTGTCATTAGTTATATCCTTTAAAGTGAAGGAGAACATCAAAAACAAAACACACTTGAGAATATGAAACTTTCTATTTCTTCCTTTCAACCATTTAGCTTCTGTACACATGTGCTTAGAGAAAGAAGATTTTAATGTCCCCTTCCCTCCACCTGCCTCTCAGGGATTATTCACAGCACTGCTGGAAAAACCAACATGGCAAGAAATCTACTTTATTTTCATCTTAATTTAAAAGATACATATTCTCTCTCGAGTGTCTAATTTTACATTTTATAGGATCTAGGTGTCCAGATTTCATATTACAACAGGTTATTTGTTCATCAGTGCCCTGCCCTACTAGAGTGAGGCCTCAACACGTAGCATTCCTCAATGAGAATCCCACAGAAACTCCAGATACGAAGTTTTTGAAGTTTGGTGTTGCCAGAGCAAACAATGAGCCCAAACTAGAAAATAGCTCTGCAAGAGATGCACAGAAGCTTCCTGTGACACAGTGCTTCCAATGTGCAGATCTGACTATAACAACTAGGGACTTCATCTTATCATGTCACAGTGAACATGCCCACATCATGTCACATGCCCACACATGAACACAACTGCACAGCAGGATAATACATCTGCTAAAAAATGGTCTGCAAAGCAAAAGGTAACTGCTCATCCATATAGTCTTACTCATAACAGAAATTATGTCCAATATCACCTTAATTCAAAACAATTAGCGTATTACTCCAAGGTGGTATTTTAGACATATTTACCTGTAAGCTCCCTTTTTATATTAGGAAGATTAGCTGGACAGGAGTTGCTGATGTTTAGTCCTGGAGGAGGCATGCTTTGGTTGCCATAAAGGTCAATCAAATTGCCAGACACAGGCAACTGGAAAAGATAAACAAGGAAAAATATCATTTTGTTTATCCTTATGAAAGGCTTTGTAAAGAAGAACAGTTAGGATCTGCTAAGAAATCTGTGCTCTTCTCCGTGCTCTTCTATGCAAACAGAGCGTGCAGTAAGGTCAGCAAAAGATATGCACAGGCATGAGGAACAAAACACCTACATTGGGAAAATTCTGTTCTCTCTCCTCACGAATATACAGAGGATATGCAGAGGAGGTAACATGCTGACAATATTGCTGTATTGTTGCTCCTTATTCTCCTGTGAAGTTATTCTATCTGTACCCCCATCGCTTCTCTAACGCAAAACATCTGAAAGAGCCAAGAGAACTCTCCTGGAGGAAGCCCCCCCTCCTTCCACGAATACATGAGTGAAAGTACTTTGCAAGTTGTCACATGCTTGAGGAAGAACACTGTATTTTCATGTGTTTGAAAGCTACCTACACAGACAATATTTAAGCTTACTTTAACTTGTTTTTCACCTTACGTAACAAGAATGTGCACCAGTAGGAGGAAGTTATTTTTATGTTAAGTTTTCTCAATTACTTGTTCATTCTGCTATTCTTATTTAGGTATGTTTAAGCAAGGAGATTTATAGAGAAATAGGTTAGTATTCCAACAAGACTTACCAAAGCTATCTCTTTAAATTGAAACGTATCTAAAGATGTTTACATTTGTCCTGAGTGGATTATTTTACCCATCTCTTATTTGTTTTCAAACCAGGTTTTGAAGAGACAGGTATAAAACACTTCGATATCTTATCTGAGTGGCAATACTTCTTATCATCGTTGCTGCAAAGAAAACCCATCCCTCCAAGACACTGATCCTGCAGAGATTAGAGTAAGCATTAAACTTTACACCCATGTAAATAATGCTGTTGAATACAATGAAGTGAGTCACAGCCTGGGCTGGTCCTTGTCAGACTGAGACCTAAGAAAATTTCTCTGCCATCTGGAGCTACTAAAGAAGCAAAGTTGATATGCAGCCAGCTAGAAGCCATACTAATACTTGTTTTGAACAGAGAGTGGCCAACAACTAAAACAAAGTCCCCTAACTCAAGCTTTCAGTGACAGAGGAAAAATGTAACTGAAACTCAATTCTGAATTTTCACCAAGATTCAGCCTTACAAATTCTTGCCCTTTCTTAAGCTCTCAATATTAAAAATAAAAGGAGAAAAAAAGGGACATCTATGATAAAGCTAAGGTCACAGTTGTTTGTCACAGACTATGGTCACAGTTGTGACCTACCCTCATTAATGTCAGGGTGACCTCTGCTCTACAAGTTGTCCCTTGTATCTTTTGGTCCCTTGAACACATCCATGACACAGGCACAGCAATAGCGTCATACACCCTTCTGACTTGGATGTGCTTTTTCTATTCATGCTCCTAAGCATGGGGAGAGCACAAAGACCTTGTTTGTAGCTCAGGGACTTGAAGTTCAAAACCAGACATGTGAAATCTAATTAGGAATTTCAGGGAAAAGAAAGATGGAGAACAGTTAAGGTCACCAAGCTGTTTTCCCTACTGCAAGATGAATCCTGCTTGTTTGAAGTTCATGGTTTTTATTTCTTTTTCCAAAGAAACACAGATTTCCATGTAAACAAACAGCCACCACAAAAGGGGACAGTAACACAGATAGCTGCTGAATGGGCACACTGTAGTACTGCAGAATTTGCAAGCACCAGAGGAACCCACCCAAGAGCTGCGCATCAACCTGAGCACAAGCACTGCCAATGCAGCATCAGCTAAATAAAGGAAGATAAAGGGAGAAATCTGCACTGCTGCTAAGTGTTGCAGGTCTGCATGTGCACATGAATGTTTATCAAGGAAGCCTACGTTGGATGTAGATGCCAACAGTCTCAATTTAAATCAGTGATCCATAAGTAAAGAGACTGATCGGCTTCTTTCCTTCACTACTTCTCCCAGCAAGCTGAACTCCACAGGTCAAAGCTTCAGTTGTAACTTTCTACTACAAGTGTGACTATAGTTATGGTCCACACTCAGTAGGAACCTTTGAGAGGCGCCTCTTGTGCACGACAGCTGCAAATCACATCTTTGGGACTAACTTTATACAATTCCTTTCAAATTAGAAACATAAAGTGCATGCAACACGTTAGCTTACCTCACAGGGCTAAAACACCTGCAGTTAAAGATTTGAGGTACGTCCTCTGTTCATAATCATATTCCAGGTCCCAGAGGGATAAAATTGGTTAACTTGTAAAGTAAGACCAATCACTATTAGTGTAGAGTTTAGAGAACTGGAAAAGGGAGAGGATCCCTGTGCTGTGGGCATTGGTTTGACATCGACAAATCATCAGTGCTGTGAGCACACTAAAGCAGCCACTAAGCTGAAATGGGGCAAAAAATCCCCCAAAAGAAACAAAAGGATCTTATAACATGCATAATGCAGCAACACCTAGAATTTATTTCAAATGCTTCCTACTGGACGAAACTGGATAAACTTAAACATTGTTTGCCAACATTTCAGATCTAATCTAATCTGCCTTCCTATCACTTTGCAGCTGCCTTTTTTCTTTATTAATAGCTGCTTTCACATACAGAAATTTCAAATACGGTAATTATTACTGCAGATTCATCACAGTGTACATTCAGGGGAGTCTGAGGCTTTTCTTTCTCTTCCACTACTCCAACAAAACAAGCACCAACATTCAGGTCATTTGGGCTCTGCATAAAATCAATGAGATCTCAGCTGTGTGATTATCAATGCTGTTTCTAAGGTATCAGTGCACACTGGAATGGGTTCTGTTCCCCAGCTCGTGCAGCCTACAATGTATTGTGCTGTTCCCTTATTTATAAGCACATGCTCTGCAACAGTCCCTGAAATAAAACTCCTCTCTGGAGTTAAGCTTCCACAGGGAAGTCACATTAAGAAGCAGAGCCGCACGAACGCACACAGCTTTCCATGGCAGATTCTTGCTAGGATTGGTAAGTTGGATGAATCAGTTGTCACCTCAGCTCGGTGTACAACGGTACTTTACACAGTACCTAGCTGTTCAATCACTGGGTCCTATCTATGCAGAAAACCCTCCCAACAAACTAGTGACCATTCAGCGATACCCTTCACCACAGAAGCAAAGCCAGTTAACTTGTGACCCAACAGCAAAGTTTACAAACACTTCTGCAAGCAGTTGAGTGCAATGAGCCCTTTTCTATTAAGAGGTTCTTGGGAACTTCCCTTAGCTCACTCTACACAGAAATCCCTGATTTTGCTCATCAATTAAGTACTGTTAACAAATGTAACAAACTAGTCCTTTTGTTCTCTGTTGGTTATGGAACAACAGCAGCCTTTGTCGCACTCTCAGCACAGCTATTTATAGGCTGCATCTCTTTAAAGACCATTTCCTCTCTTGAGTCTTCCATCTCTACTTAGCTCAGCCTACAGACATTAATTCCTTATTAATAAAATATTGCATGTTTTAAGAATTAAGTCCTGTTCCAAAAGAAAAGTGTCTGTTACATCAGGCTCATTTGTTTACCAAACCAATTGTGGGGAAACATGGTTCAATTTCCATCTCTTCAGGTTAATTCTGAGACTGAAATACGCTTTTTGCCTCTAGCAATTTAAATGCACTAGCTTAAAGTCCTAATTGTACTGTTTAATACCCTTATTTTACAGACTTCACCACATAGAGTGGGCAGTACCTAAAATTTCACAGCAAATGTGGATTGCGGCGCCTTCACAAGGCTTCTTGTCCTGCATCAAACAGGAGGGATGTAGACTACCCTAAATATTGAGTACATGGACTCCTTGCACCAAAAGAGTGCAGAGCACCACTATGTCTGAGAGCAAAGAGCCTCTGCAGGGGTCCCTGTGGAATGAGAAAGGAAGAGAAGTATAAAGAAATCCAAGACCCCTCTAATTTAATAGGTCCCAATCCAATGGAACTTCAGAGAAACGGCTCCAGAAGAACCTGATTCCTCAATAAAATAAGAATTTTTACTAAAGACTATTTTAGATTTTCCTCTCAAATTCCAGGACAGCTGCACTTTTCAAGTCATCCTGGATTAAGGATTACGTTAAAAAATGCATTCTTTCAGTAGGACTCTGCAGTGATTCCTCCGTCTACTCAAAGGGTACCACTCAGAAAGGGATGCTGGTGGGCCGTTTCCTGCTGCATGTACCACATCTCAGAGGGCTGTGGGAATCTGTGGGAGCGTAGGACTAGGTTAACATGACATCAAATGACTACTGTCAGCAAACGTGAACCTATGCTACAAAATGGATGCTGTGTGGTAAAAAGCTGTAACTTTTGGCACTAGATAAAAAAGAAACAGACGCCAGCACTGGCAGACATCTACCCAGCCAGATCTAACAGCACTTAAGCCCAAGGCAAAAAATCCACTGGAGCCACCCTCCACAAAAGATCAAAACAAGACTATGCCAGAAGTATTAGACTAATGCTCACAGCAACGTGAACCAGCAAACAGAAACAGCAACTTGGTGGTAACCTGTGCCTTCCCTCACCAATTTTCACATCTCTGTGTTCTTGTCTTCTGTCACAGGCTTCCTATGTCCCCTTTCCCCATTCAGTTTTTTAAGCTTCTTTATTCCTTCCCTCTTTGTTTGCTTTGAAGGTTGCTTTTTAAGTTTTTCTTTTGTTTATTAAGTTTTGTAACATCACTGCTGTCATCTAGCTAGGGACTTCTCTGCATTTGAAATCAGGTTAAGCTAAAACTCTGTTGTTAAACTAGAGCATCTCTGGACAGGGATACTAACACATCCTTAAGCATGGCATACAGTTTCTTACTTGAACACGTCAAGATACAGGAATCTGGGGTGCTGAAGGTTCCCTCTAGGCTTTCTGAGTCCAAGTCCATGGTGATCTTTAATACTGATGGGTATGAGCTCACTCCTGGCAGCCCAGTTCACTCCTCTCTTACAATCCTCTCATATACTAACTCGACTTTGAAAGAAGAAAAGCAGAATTGTCCTTTGTATTACCTCAACCTGACTCCAGCTTGCATTTTTACATTCCTATTTTTCATAGCAACTGTATACCTTAAGCTCTTCAAAGAAAAACTAATTACGCTCTATGGGACAACACAGTAACTACTTAATTGCTTGGAAAAACCAGCCATGCTACAGTTTAGCATTCTCTCAAGGGAAGACAATTAGACTTAGCAGGGAAAGCAGAAGGGAAGGACCATTGTACCGTATTTGCCATTTGCAGGGCTGGGTCCACCAAGCCAAGGATTTCTTCATTGTAACTTGACTCCAGGCTAATTATGTCATCGATCACATCATCCATCTGCAGCAGGAAAGGTGGACAAAGAAAGACAAAACAGTTATCAAAACACTAGGATACAGAGTCCTGACAAAGCACTTCAGCCTCACACCATCTCTCTGCAGCAAAGGCCCAAGCAGAGGTGCCTGTACAGCTCTGCCATGCTCCAATCCCCCAGCTATGACTCCTGCTATTCAGCCAGGACAGTCAGGTCATGACAAAGCTAAGGCTTCATGGTCTAACCCATTCCTGGCAGCAATTACACTGCACTGCCTGCCCCGACACACCATTCCTCCCATAACAGCAGAGGAGATAGGTCCCCATAGAACAAGCTATGCTAATGATGTGAATCCCTCTCCCCTGTGCAGCTCTGCCTACCCTCCACCTCTTTCCTCTTGTTGTGGAGTCAAAACCTGCGTACAGACCCTGACCCCAAGCCTCTGACACCTGCAGGGGAAGGAGAGGGAACAAACGCTTGCTGCATGACCGGCTACCCTCCTCAACAACAGAATCCACTGGATTCATGTCCCTCATACACCCTGCCACAAAGCACCACCCAAGAGCAGCTCGGAGGTGATTGTAGGTGGTACAAGGCATCTTCTTTCTAGGGCTGGGCTGGAAGGTGCCTCTGTAAGCTCCTTCACCATCAGGAGAAATAGAGCCCTCCGAAACACCCATGCGGGTGCCCGAACTGTCCTGCAGGACTGACTATATCCTTTTTGCTAATTAGAAAAAAGGAGCTTAAATGACAATCATCTACAAAACTCAATGCATAATGTTGATGGTAGAAATAGTGGTGTATATATATATCAGCTCCAGAGAGCGTGATCAGAATGAATTACACCGTCTGAAGTGAGGGCAAAAAAGGAACTAATAGTTAACTAATAGTTACACAGCCCATACCTGAAGCTCACACCAGAAATAAAACCCCCTCAGTTTAAAAAAATAAATTAAAAAAATACAAAAATAAAAATAAAAATAAAAGGATGACTGCTGAGGATGAATTAACATGGATGGATTAAAGTCTTCTCGTATTTTTTTAAATGCAAGTGTGATGTGCACAGAAACATGATCTTAAGAAACTATGAGGACAAGGAGACATACATGCAACCTTGGGAAAACTGTATTGGGAAAGGTTTCCTTAAGTGAGACCTTAATGCATGATCGATACGTTCTTCTGCTCTAGTGTTACAGTGCCATGAAAGCCCTCTTGGCCCTCTTCAGATGTCTCAATGCGCTTTTGACATCAGTGCTAATAAACAACATTGTTGTTTTGTTCCTTAAACACATCTGATATTCAGCTTCTTAGAGGCACTACAGGGCAAGTTTACTCTTCAACATAACTTCTGACAAACATGCTGTGCTCCAACTCCTGTGTCATCCAGTACCTGCATGCATGATGCTCGTGAGTGTGTATTCAGAGCCGGGCACTCACTCTCAACCCTGCTTTGCTCTTCAAATTTATAAAATCCCTGCAGAAATAAAAAGAAAAAGAAAAAAAAAAAGAAGAAAAAAAAAAAGAAAAAGCAAAGCATGGATCTGAGTTCATGGCACAGTCTCGGTTCCAAAAAGAGCATGATTGAAACAGGTCATGCACACATGTGCCTGATGACACAGCAAAGTGAAGCTGTAAATATCTTGAGGGGAGAAAAAAACACTTGGGTACCACTGCGACAATAGGATGCAACTGATTTTCATTTCTTTCAATGCTGTGGAGCACAAATAATTTCTCTTGCACGTGCAAAATATGTTCTGTAATACCTGTTTCTCAAAGCTGCAGAACATTTTACTCATGGAGTGCATGTATACTAAAGATCTGGCACACAAGCTTGAGGGGGAAGGATGAGAGGACACAAGGGGCTCAACAATTCTCTCTTATCTGTCACGTTACAAAGCTACTGACATGATTTTTAGATTTAACATCCTTCAAACCATCTTCCTTCGGCACCTGAGCACAGAAAGTTTTTGCCAGCAAAGATTAATACGAGGTTACAGGGGACTTCTAGGCATACTCTAGTGAAGTCTTCTGTCTGCAGCACTGAACTCATCATGAAACAGAAATTAGTAACATTTTAGAGTATATTAAATGCTGGGATAATCTGGCCTTCCAGCTAAGCAAGACACTTGCTCAAATTTTTTTGTAAAAATACCTAAAATATCTCAACAAGCTTTGTGTTTTCCAGTTATTTTTGCTATGCTCTTTGCTCTTTCTACACAAACGAGCCATAAATAAATTATTCCAGAAAGCTGTAGCTTATAAAATGGTTTTGTATTCTCCAAAGGTCAATTATTCACTGTGTGCATTAAGCAAGGGGGGTGAAAGAAAAGTAGTTTTCATAAGCATAAACTCACTAAAATAGTTCAAAACAGAGGAAGTTAAAGGGACACAGTTTTTTTTTGCCAAGATGTTCTATGCAAAGGTCTATTAGGAAGACACAGAGGGAGTAGCTGCATTTTCAAATCAAACAGTTCAGAAAAGAATAAACACAGCATCTCAAGAATGAGCAAATATGGCTTGAAACAGAAAGAAAGCAGACTGCAGTTTCATTTTACTGAAGAGTATACACAGGGAGAGCAAATTACCTCTTTCTCACAGTTGGAGTTAAGGGTAAGCATAGCCATTGGGCTGTTGGGCGCGCTGCTTCCGGTTCCAGGCGGCATGACATGATCTCCGGGCTGGTTTGGACATGGCAAGCTCAGGGCTTGGTTGGCATGTTTGTTTGCTAGTGTGGTAGAGAGGTACTGCTTTACCTGCTGCCGCTGGGCTTGCTGAATGTGGTACTTGGTTGGATTCTCAAGGTGAGTCTGCACCTGTATGACACAATTTAAGAAGTGCTTTATTGCCGTACATCATCTTTAGACGTGCTAGCGATTTGAGCTATACATTTGTGACATACAGACCAACTAAGCATTTGACTTAACGTACAAACCTCTGCAGCTCCAAGAAAGTCAATAGCAATTCACTAATCCACGTTCAGTGGCAAGAAATCAGTTTACGACCTAGTGTTTCAATAACTGACTTATTAAGGGTAAACCAAGAAGTCCACTTCTTTTTCTACAACATGAGATTTCTCAACTTAAGACCAACGCTCAGGTTCTCCAGTTTGTACAGATACCCCCAAACCGGCATTTCTGTGTTCAGACCTTCAGCTACGCGACATTCAGTTTTCACTAAAATATGAAGAAAGAAGAGGTACTTCAGGACTCATTTTACTTGTTAGTAGCTACATTAAAACCAAGTATTATGGATTGCTATCCTTTATCGGATATCAAGTAACAGAGAGATCAAAATGTTCATTGTTTTTTTTAGGGTTTGGTTGTTTGGTTTTTTTAAAGTAACATATAGGTTAAGAACTAAAAATAAGAGGAACAAACTATCATTTTGCCTACAACTTATTTATATCTCAGATATACAGCCTAAATCATATACAAATAAGACAGCCTGTTTATAAACACATTATGCAAATAAGATGCAAGAAGAGAAAGAAGTGTTTCAGTTCAGATCAATCACTGTCCTCAACAACAGCTATTTTTGTATTTAAGATAAGCTTTTCAGTACACAGATTTTTTTTTTTTGTATACAAAATGGGAAAAACCTCTTACCCAACTATTTTTGCACACCATAAATAAGCAGAATAAAGGCAATATTTTTCCATACAAAATTTTCGCCATATCCTGCAAACACTTTGTTACCTTTCTTCAATCATTTTCGTTTTTATCAGAAGGTAGAAAACAAATCAAATTATAATAACACTCTCAGAAGTTTTTTTGCTTTAAAACACTTCTGTTAGAGTGACTTTTGCTGTTACAAAGGACCATGTATGTCCCCCACTTCTTGTTGTGGAAGAAATTAAATAAAGCACACTAGATACCAGAGGAAAAGGGCTTTCTGCATATTGCAAAGCTTTCTTAGCAACAAGTTTTAAAATAAGTCTGCAATAACAACTCACCTGATAATGATTATACTCAAGCATTTCCAGCATACTACTAAGAGGCTGCAAGAGAAGCGACTGCAATATCCTTTGTTCTATGCTACTCCAGTTTGAGGGATTCACATATGGAATGAGGCACCATAAACAAGATACCCCAAAACAGCAGAAGAAACTTGAACGCCACCACTCAGACTTATAGTAACTTAGGCTAATTAGCCACGCATGTAGAGAAACAAACAGTTCACACAAGTGCTCTTCTTGGAAGCTATGCAAGTTTAACCCTAAGTATTGGTATTATCTTTTTCCCCCTGGCTTTGATGTCATGCTTTTTCACAAACATAAAAGGATCTTTTAAGTGATGAGCTATCAAAGTCAGATTGACAGTTTGCTCAAGGCTAATTTGCTATTCATCTTTCGTTCCAGTCATACTAACAGACAATGGTATTTTTCTTCAGCAGTAAGGTTAAGATTTTTTTAAGTACAAAGTAATAAATAATTGAACAAAAGCCCCATGAGTGTAATGCATATGCCCTGGAAGTGGGGTGCACTGGGTAAACCCATGGGGCTACACAGTCCTGTCATCAGCTTGCTGCTATCCCCACCAGTCTACAGGGGACCTGCAGCTGAACACAAGAGGATATGAAGAAGCTCTACCATGTCCTCAGCCTCCTTGGTGCTTCAGAGCCCATGTCTCAGTGTATAGCTATGTCCTGGGTTCAGCTACAGCAGTCATTTTGTCTCCTTCTTAGTAGCTGGTGCAGTGCTGTGTTTTTGACTTTCAGCCTGGGAACAACGCTGATAACACTGATGTTTTTAGTTGTTGCTCAGTAATGTTTACTCTGACCAAGGACTTTCTCAGTCTCATGCTTTGCCAGAGAGGAGGGGAAGCCAGGAGGAAGCAGAGGCAGGACACCTGACCCAAACTGGCCAAAGGGGTATTCCATACCACAGCACGTCATGCCCAGTATATAAACCGGGGGGAGTTACCCGGAAGGGCAGATCGCTGCTCGGGTCGGGCTGGGTATCGGTCGGCGGGTGGTGAGCGGTTGTGTCCTTTTCCCTTGTTATTCCTCTTGTCATTATTATTGGTAGCAGTAGTGGTTTGTATTATACCTTAGTTACTGGAGAGCTGTTATCTCAACTCGTGGGAGTTACATTCCTTCGATTCTCCTCCCCATCCCTCCGGGAGCGGGGGGAGGAAGGAAAAGGGGGGGAGTGAGCGAGCGGCTGCGTGGTTCCAAGTTGCCGGCTGGGCTTAAACCACGACAAGCTAGAAGTTTTCCAGTTCAGGAATGGTTGATGATGGGCTAAAACACGTCCCAGATGCACTTATTTACACTTGTGCACAGTCATGGTACTGTGCACAGCCCCTACACCTTCCAGAACTTACTTTTTCTGTCTATTCAGCTCCTCAACAAAAGCCTGTTCTCAAGCACAGGCATCAAATGCTACTCAACCTGCATTATTTTTAAAGTCTCTGCTGCACAGGAAGCACACTTGAGATAGCATTTCTAGAGAGCTTAATCTGATTTGTTGCACTAAATTGCAAGACAACACAACACAAGAAGTCTGCTGTGATAAGTACAGCACTTGCTTTGTCAGTCCCAAACTGCATTGTCAATTTTCCTATCACCAGTGGCAAGAGTTATGCTACCCAGGTAAGTCTATTTTTCTCTTACATTTTTATCTTCTGAGCAGATGAAGTTATCAGTAATCATGTTATTTTTGTAACACTTATCTTGGAATATGATATTTTAAAAGCAAGCCCTATTTATCTGACAGAATTTGCACATTCCCTTTCTTCCACAGGCATCAGATACCAATCAGATACCATGACTGTTCTCCAGGCTCCGTGGGATGGAGCAAAGCCTCTCTTCTCTGCACTCATCTCCTACCCACCCTCCATTCTCCCAGGAGAGAGAACAGCAAAATTCCAAGATCCACATCTCAGTTCTGCATCATCCAATATTATAGTATTCAAAATACCTACTAATACACTGAATTGACTCCACTACATGTCAAGTTTTGGAACATGCACTGCCTAACTGACAAAGGGCTTTTGTTGGAAAAACACATGCTTATTTCACAAGAACTTATGTTCCCCAAGATTTTGTTGTATTATCCTACATTAGATTAGTTCGTGTTATTTTGCTGCTCCACAATTTCTCTCTCTCTCAAATGGGCTATGCTCCCCATCTCTCTTTGGCCTAGAGCATCCTTTTCTGCAGTCGCTACCTCAAAGAGAACCGAAACGTGTCTACTTAGGCAAGTGTCCCAAGATGTACCAGTCATGGTCAGCCTGTAGATAAGCCATAACGCAGTCTTACTTTCTGACAAAATGGGTCACAAGCAAAGAATTGCAAAACAATCCCCACAATGAAATATCATTACTCCAAATTTGCAACTGTGAATACAAGCTTTAACTTAAATAAGATCTAATTTTGGTCCTCAACCCTTTCTTAACTTTGGGGTGAAGAATAGTTCTTGTTGTTCTTCCAAGTTCACAAGACACAAAGTACAAGATGACTGTTGGTTTGGATACATGCCCAAAGAAATGCATACAAATGGGAACATGCAAGAAACATGGAACAGCTTGAAACTGAATCCTCTGGATCTCCAAGCCATCTCTCTCCAGGAATCTCAACCTAAGCTTCACTGTAACATTACTGAAGTGAGAAGAATGTTGGGTTTGGGCATTTGGGTACTGGTAAGTAAGAAGCAACGGAAGTATCATCTGCAGAACTTCGGAAATTGCTTAAGACAAGATGGCAAAACTAGCTGTATTTACCACACCGTAGTAAAAGAAGAATTTGGCTACAAGGAACTACAGATCAAGGATGGCCAAGTGGCAGCCTACAGCCTGGATTCAAAGAAACACCTGGAAGAAGGCTGTATTTCCAATTTGCATTCAGGTCTATTTTGAAGTTGTTTGGTTATCAAAGTTCTGCTTACACAGGTAATGCAGAATAGTGCTGCCTCAGAAGTAGAGGCCTAGAACTGGTTTCATGATAGAAGAGCCTTCAATGTCAGCTCAGCAGCATCTCCACTCAGCAGCATCTCCATGGGCTGGCTCCAAGCACAGTTAGAGCTGTCACTGCATCAGGTACTCCTGCAGTGTGAGTCTCACAGGTCAGTGGTTCAAGCTCCATCCATTCTTGCCATGATGACACTGAGCTAGTATGTTTCTTCGTGAGATGAAGCACTAAGAAAAGCAGTATAAAGAAACCAGCTTGACTGCACCCATATGTAACCCATCTAAGGCCCTACAAGGCTCATCTGGGCTGGATAGGTTTGGAAGACAGCCATGCTGATTACTCAGCACTTGTCCCTTCTCTTTGGAAGTATCCTGGAGAACAGCGTTATCTCAAGCAGAGAAAAGTCTTTCTCATGCCTTCTCTAATCTCGACATCTGACTGCTAATTCCAGTGCATACATCCCGTTCAAGTATCTGAGTAAGGGAAAAACAGTTCCTGAGAAGCTGCCTACATTCTTCCATGCTACAGAAACAACAGTAATAACCCATATACACAGAGCAGATTTTTCCCAGCCCTTGCATCTAGCATCAATCAAGCAAACATTTAATCAATGGCTTTCACTAGCTTTAAGCATACACACCATATCAGTGGGATTTTTAGGTGTACTTCAGACTACATTCTTCAAAACCCTTGTATAATATTACACATCAGTGACAGGACTCCTGAGTAGACCCACATACTTCCTTCAATTTGAACAACTAAAAATGTTTCCCATTCAGGTGATGAGATGCTCAGGAATTTAAACACAAAGCATAAAGATCAAACAGTTCCTCCATATGAATCCAGTGCGAGCAGCTGAAACAATACATCTGATACTTGCTCCTCCTGTCAAGTCTTGCTGAGAATCATTCAGACTTAATTTGCTAATAACTTGCTAATAACTTTGAACAGGCCAACTGGAAAACCATCAGGAGCAAAACATTAGCTGAATTTGAGGAGAACAAAGCTACACTTGAAACCCAGATGTCAGAGTAGGACTTGTCCACCCTGAGGACAGCGATCTCATCCTGCATCACGAAGCTCTGCCTGCACAGGTCTCCTTCCTCCCCAGGACTTCCTCTGCCACCTCTTGGGCTTCCCCACTTTTCATCTCCCCCTGTCTCATGGCAGGTATCACACTTCCACGTTCCTCACCCCCTCTGGCAAAGGCCATCACCACTCCAGAACCCCTGGCCATCTCCACACCAGGGATTCTCCATAGGTACTGCCCAGAGACAGTGCCATGCTCAGCCTCTGCCATGCTTGGGTCCAGCTGCTCAGATGGGAGCCACTGTGCAGCCAAAACAGCTCCCCATGCTTTCTTCCTCCCACTGGAGTTTGCAGGACACAACACCCATTTCCTAGCAAAAAAGCAAATTGCTAAGAACCCGGACTTGGAGTTAAGCAGTGGAGACCTCACGCCTGTGCATGCAATACTGAAGAAGCCCTCAATCTTCCGCTGGCACAAGTGACAGAAGGCCATGCTGATGCCAGCAGTTCTGGGCTGCCCCTCTCCCTTGGCCTCCTCTAGCTGGGAAGGAGCATATTCCTGTTCCCCAAACCACATAAAAAGAGATTCTTCTCACCAAAAGTACCACTGAACCTTCCCGTGAAAGTAAAGCCAAACCACTTGATGCTTCATTTAAGCAGAGATAGGCATTGGCAACGGGACATACCAGAGATTTACAGAGGACAGCTAACCAAGGGGGAAGGAAGACTTTTCTTCCCCACCCCCACTTTTTTATAATTAAAAAGACCATTTGTTTCAAATAAATTGCCTTAGGACTTACAGTTTATAATCACAAATAAAACACTTTTTGTCAGTTTTCTCAGTTCAATAGAACTTTTTGTTGCTTAGACAGCTAAATGTCATGGGATTTTTATGAAAGGTTAAAATTCTGTATCATTTAACAGTTAATGGTACCCAAAGAAAAACGATATACAAAACCACATCCACTTGAGTGTTCTGCAAAGGCTACAGGCTTTGGTTGGGTCTACTACAGTAGAAAGCCTCTTCAACACACTAGTCCAGGGCTT